TGTAATACAGTTAACTTGGGAGTTCCTGTTGATGTACATTATAAATCGCATTTTAGTCTCGTTTATGCCAGCATAAGAGTAGTTTCTACCCTATAATTATTGGACTTACAGCCAACAGATCCTTTCACCAATTACACTTCACAACAGCTGGCGCCTGTAGACAGTGAAGTACATTATGAAATAACTAGCTGGTTACTATTAAAAATATGAATATGTTAAACAAAAATAACATACTATAACGCATAAAACAGAAATAATAAAAAATAATAAAATGAATAAATAAAAAATAGATATACATATGTTATTCAATGCCAAAACTGACCTGAATGGTTTACAGATAATTTATTTTCATGCACTATAGGTTTATGTGTAGCGTGTAATGAAAAGGTGTCTGGCAAACGTTTACAAGAGTTGAATTTTGACAATTGTCGAATGTTTAAAGATAATTCAATCAGTCCAGGTTGTACAAACATGAACGATGCACTTTCGTGCACCGGTTTTGATCACTGTTTTTTGACTGCCCATTGAAATGAAGCAGTAAGAGAAAGATAGGGAAGTTAAATATAGAGCGAAAGAAAAAGTGGAGAATTTCAGTGGGCAAAGATTGCAAAGAAATTGAGAAGGTATACAAACGCCACAGTTTACGACACTGCGCTCTATTAGCTAGTATCTCTAACCTCCGGTTGAGATCATCTCGAGGTTCCCAGCTAGGGAGCTTAACGGTGCCCACGTGATCAAGTATCATGGTTAAAGTTTTCGTACCCTAGTGCCAGGTCTTATTTTGACCACCATTGGCTTTTCCCACACACAAATGTAGCAGTATACACTGCTACAATGTGTATATGATCATTTTCACCCTAAAACGAACCAACATGCGAGCCCGCTTTTCCAAAAACTAGATTTTTAGTGAATAGGTCGTTACTGATGTTTGTCAGTACCTTGCACTAACGTTAGCCCCTCTTATTCCCCAATATTCCTTTCGGGTGGTATAGACCCAAAATTAGGGATGGTGAAAAATTTACATTTTGAAACTTCTGAACGGTTGATAGTGAGCTACCGCTAGTTTATGCTAGCATTTCAGCAACTGCAGCGGAAATCTAAAAGTAGATATGATCAGAGTAGAGCTAGTATGCAATGCACAGCTTAACATGTTAAATTGTGCCAGTGTAGTGCATATTAAAAGAACGATAATATTAAAAGTAAAAAGTAGCTCTGGAATTTCTCAAGTTAATATATCTAACAAAACAGTTCTCCCGGAAAAATCACTATCTTTAAGTAACAGCTATAGTTGCTAAACCAAAAAGATGGTGACCGACTGAGAAGAAAGACTCCTACCTTAAGAGGATAACAACAGTATCGGCCTTGTTCTTTGAGGAAGTACGCGTGTTCAAAGAGTCAAGGTGCAAGTGGATACCCTAACCTTGTTGCTTCTGATAAGTGTGTCATGTTTGTGCCACCGTGTCCCTATAGTCCTCAGATGCAAAGTTTTGGTTGAAAATTGACCCTTTTCTTCTGCTAGCCACACCATCGTTTGAGGAAGTTGCTTCTTGTCCATGATTTAGTAGTCACGTCCAGCTTATACGGATCTAGCAGGAAACTTACAGAAAAGAGAGAAGGAAGAAGAGAAAACTGCCTTTGGGAAATTGTCAGTGCAATAACCACTACAGATTTTACGAATGAATACAAAAATATTTTAAGCTAATTGCAATTCACATCACAAGCGATTAGTATACTTACTTGCTAAATGTGAAGCCCCGGGTGGGATCCAAGTTGAGTCGATAGATTTGCATTGCTAATGAAACTCAATCCAGCGAAAACAGCTGTGCAGAGCTTACCATTTTTTATTTCATTCTTTGTTTGCTCTAAACTGAACCATGGGCTTAAAAATATATTCGAAAAAGAAAAAGACGGTTAGATTTTCTAACTGCATATACTGACTTGAAACTGAGGCTTTCATCGCTATGCCAGAAGGTGGGCATAAATCTTTTCTTTGCTACTGGTTATTAATCTGCCTCCAAGTCATCACCTTTCACAATCTAAGAGATACTGATTATATGTAAATGAAATGTGGCTCAAACCAGCTAGGAACTTATATAAACAATTCCGTGAAAACATGTTGTATATTTATACCAAGGTGTGATTTAACTGAATGAATTTGGAGTATAGCACACAACGTCTTGCTCGGTTTGGCGAACGGTGGAGTCAAACTCCCCCAGGGAACAGAGTACAGAATATGCCAATAATATCACCCTGCTGGGTTACAACACACAGCCTTTCCAACACGCAATAAGCCGCTTGGCACTCGAGCTATATAAATGTAGTTGTTGCATTGTGCCGTCCAAATGCTCGTTCAAGACTGGAAGGAGCCTATGCCTTCGCTTACCCCTGTGTTGACCAGATAATTGAGAGCGTTAATTACCTCAGAATCTTGATCACAGCTGGAGTTGGTGTTGAAGAGAAGATCGCATCACAAATAGTAAAAACTAGAGCAGCTTTTCACCAACCTGTGACACCTGCGGCGCCGTCATGATATCCATTGTCCTTTAACGGAAAGGTGTATATTGATGCGGTTTTGTAGTGTTCTGCTTAACGTTTGCGAGACCTGACCCTTCTGTATGGAGGATGCCATTGGATTTTCTGTATTCGACCATTGATGTCTCCAAAGCATTGCTTGTGTATGATAGGAACATCTGCTGAGAGTGGATGGTCATGCTCTAAAAGAAATAATTGCTCAACACTGCCTTTGATGGTTTGATCGTGATTTTTTGTGTATCTGCAAATCACCTATCTTTTTGTGTTCTGTTTTCAGGCCCAGAGTAAACCTGTAAAATTCGTCGTGGTAATTAGACAATGCTCTAACTTTGGATTCTAAGGAAGTGCAATCTGACCTTTATAATTAGAACTGGGGGATGAGGATTGTCTTTGATCATAAACCCTGAAAAACAAGGTTCGGAATAAAGATCAAGGAGAAAAGTGTCATGCGGTGTGTTTGTTGGAATCCCGTGCCTACAAAAATATAAAGGGATAAAATAGAAAACGATTTGAATCAAACAAAACGTTTTTTCTTCATCTGTACATTGGCTTTCCTCATTTTCCTTATTTGTTCCAAAAGATACCCTTGCACATTGATTGTTATTGAGTTGATGTCGTGTTAGTTCTTAAAGCGATGTATTATATGTATCAACCTAATCATGAGCGAGCGCTACATTAATATTAAAATCCTTTAAGATGGATCTTAATAGATTAGGAGCTTGTAAACAAAATAGAAGTTTTTGGTGTTATAAACGATCATTATTACTTAATTTAATGGAGCATACGAAATAGCTTGACGTTCTTAATTCAAGCTAACAATGAAGCATTCAAATATACACGGTGGAAGAATCAGAAAAGTGATGTTCATAGTATTTTGTTTCTTTGCAGTTGCTCTTCATATTTTCTTGATTTATACCCCAAATTATCGTTTATATAATCATTGTTGTTACTCTGGCATCATCCTTGTCCACAAGTTACTAATGCATACTGATTAAAGGAGAATCAAAAAAGCGAATCGGAAATATGTTACGCATTTTACAGCCACTAACTAAAGACAGATTTTCTTCTATTGTGCAAATATGTTAGAGGGGGTAAAAAGTTATCTTTTGATTATATAGACAGGTTTACATAGGATAGTTCACTGACGAAAGACTTTTTAACCAATAACTTAAACTTCATCACTGTTTTATGTCAATCAAACAAGAGTCTCATCACGTTCGAATTATGCAAAGTTTGTCTCAAAAATCTTTTCATTTTTTGTTTTAGATGCTAAAAAATGTCATCCCAGGCGACAAGTTTCAAGCAGAACAGCAACAAAAGGGAATAGTTTGTCAAAAACAGACAGCCACAGCAGTCTTGGATTCTGTAGTTTACAAACCACCATTCGTAGTATTGTCTCCGCAGCTCGTGCCGAGGTGGAATCTTGTTCAAGCAATAAAAGTACATCACGATCGGTCAACGAATCCATCCGAACGCATAGTGGAACGTCAGAAAGGAGAAGAAGAGTGAACAGGCGCAGTCATATACCAGAGTTTCAACAATTTCGAGACGTTCAAGTAATTATGTGGTTGAAAAACAAGAACGAAGAGAAACGGGAAGCCAACCGTAGAAAAGTAAGTTTGATTATTTTCGATAAGAAAATATTTGCAAGCAAAAAAAGTCATTGTCACATCAAATAGATCATATCTTCTGACAGGTGAACTGGTAAATTAGTTTTGACTTCTAAACAATTGATTCAGAATTGACTGATTTCTACAAGATTCCAGTTGTCAGAGTTATTCATCAGGCGATAAAGATGTTTAAATGCTACACAATTTACAATCGGAACGATTGTGTATCAAAGACAATATCCTAGTATTATCACCAAACTTAATACAGGAAGAACTGCACGAGGAAATACGTACTCATTTGAACAATCGGTAGATAAACTGGAAAGGCACGAAGTTCCCGAATATCAGAATAGACTCTTAGATATCATACTTTAGCGAAATGCAGTGAATAAATACTTACTGGTTACTACCGAGCTTTTACTATAGGAAAGTAACTAAATGTGTCCAGTGGGTACGCATCATTATCGTGATAATTCTTCTTACTTTGGACATTTTTATTTGATTATGTTTTTATGGATTAAGCTCCATTGAACCATCTTCCTGACTGTTTGAACCAGAGTTAATTACGCCTGACATTGATTCCGTTAATCTACTAATTGTTTCATGTTTTACTGTGATCATGATATCAACGAACTGGAACTCCTTAAATTTTACAAAAATGTCACCGTCGTGTTTACCGAGCATCGCTGTGAGCACGTTGCAAGATATAATGGAATCGTGAGATGAAAAATGATAGCATTATATATCAGTTTAAATGTTCCTTTTAGATATCTTCGAATAATCCGTTTCATCGATTTGTTGTTCCAACGGAGTATAATTTCCTCATTTCATCCTAAAAGTCTGCTTATCTGGTCACCCATGGAAAAGAGATCTTATTGTTTGTTCCCTTACTCCGTGTTGCAGCGGGCTGAAGAAAAGGCTCGTCGTGAAGCTGAATTCATGGCCGAAATGGAACGCAAAAGACGCGCTGAAATGGCCGTAGAAGCATATCACAATTGGCTAGTCAAGAAGATGCGAGAAATGGAAATGAAGAAGCAGGCTATTGAGGTATGAGTGTAGTAGCATTTTAGGCGGTATATATTTATCCATATTACGATATACCCTTCTCGCTCAAATTGCAAAACAATAATACATCCGGGAAATTTATACTTATTGCATCAACCAGTTTATTCTCGTTCTGTTCATTGAACCGCCTTAGCCGGTGCACTCACTGCCCGTTCATCCCGATATGATTCTAAGGGACAGACGTATGAATAAAAACAGGGTCATGATGTTGAGGATAATAAGATGGATGAGATAAGTTTGCATTCACATTTTGTCGCGGCTGTTTCGGATGGTGTTACGGAAGGTAAAATGGAATAATTTGTACTCTAGTTGACCCCAAGTAGATTTATGCTTTACCCAATCCGACCTACAGTGATTAAGCTTTTTGTATGATATTTCCATCTAATATTTCATTCACTAAGCAACTAACCGAACGCAAATGTAAACCTACGAATCTGAATCAACCTTTACGTATGAGCAGGATTTCCTCCAGGGAGGTTAACATTTAAGTTTATTGTGGATGAAATGGTTAACAAATCCATTTCAAATCGACTAATCAGTAAAGCTCATGTATATGTTTTTGCTTTGATCCTACTCCATCATGTTGCATCATTTCTCACCTGCACACTACATTTTATTTTAAAATTGAGTTCTACCATCTTTCACTTACGATCTCCACAGAAAAATCCACCTAACCCAATCAAACATCACCCGCTTCCACTCTCAGCGCAACAAGGAGACAATGCCGCAACAACATTGGAGAAAACGATCAAATCAGAGTGTGACACAGTTGACAAATCACAAGACACATTCAATATTACGGAAAAGCTGTCTCATTCGTCGGAGGTGCATCAGATCACCGAGTTCTGTAATAAGCGATCACTTTGGAAGAGATCATTTGAAAAGAGCTGTACGACCTTTGCCACGCCAATTTTACCATTAACCAATGCAACCGATTCGGTCACCGGATTAAGAGTATGCGCAGAGTTGCCAGTGAAAAAGAATCAGGTTGGTATATTAAATTCCGTGAATGAATTAAAGCATCAAACCAATGGAATTAATTTTCGCCTTTTACACAGAATAAATTGGTTTTCTGGTAAAATGTTGTTTCGTTTTTGGAAAACTCTTAAACTTATCCGAATCAAGGAACTGGATTTAATAGTTGTGCTTCGCCTGGTGTATTTTTTACGCAGGGTATCGTGTTTTATATCACATCGTCCTATTAGAATCTGCCAGTTTCTTTGGTATTATTCCCCGTATGGGTTATCCTGGGAATAAACTACACTGAAGCTGTTTATCTACGTTTGATTTCAACCATGCTTACAGAAACAATAACTTAAACAGTTTGCTACTAAAAACTACGCATATAAACGTCTGCATGGGATCTGGGAGAATATGCAATATGAAAAAATGCCACGTGTGTATATGTTTGCAGAGATTGATGACTACGTTAAAAAGACTATTAAAAATCGAGTTTTCATCCCATTTATTTGTAATTTTCAATTACAACAATTCCTTCTTTTTCCCCTGTTCTGCATCCCAACGCCCTCTCATTATTGTTATTGTTATTATTGTTGTAGCGTTGGTCCCATGCTTTTACGCAAACCGGTGTTAAATATATATAGTATATATATATACTATATACTATATATATATACTATATACAATCAACTTGAGGTTATTGTTAATACTGAGCATGAAAACATTCGTTTACAAATAACTAGATGTTACGGTCAATTGAAATCACGTGACCCAGCAGACTGAACTATTTCCATATAGACCATTTGGGCAGCACACTGCTCATGAAAGTGGCTTTTACATTTTATTTTTTTGGCCGAACACCGTTGAATATGCATACTCACGTTTCTGTGAAGGTGTATACGTTAAACAAAGAACTTGGGGAGAACGATTAGGCGACTAAGGAGAAAAATTTATACCAACTCGAGAAGAGAACATCTGTCACTCTCCGTCTGCGTGTCGAGACCAGAGCCCAATGGAAGAGGATGGAATTCTCACAAAAGGTGAATTCGTTCGGTTCCTTCTCTTTTCCTTCCTGTTATGGAATAAACATAATGGTTCAAATCACTTTTAGTTAGCAGAAACTGCCAAACAAATAGCAAACATACTTAGAACATGGGGAGGTTAGATAGTGTTGCTGGGATTCGATCAATTATAGGTCCATTTGGGAGATCCCCGATTTCAGTCCATTGATCACTAGCAAATTATTAGATGAATAAAAAAGATGATTTCGGTGATAAATATATCAAAGAATAATATGTCTGTTAGATTTATATATTTCGCATGAGCTCGTTTGTCTCAGTGGTACCCGAGCGCATTTCCTGCAAGCTCTTCGGAATTTGAACCCCGGTATACATAGTTAACGAACTCGAATGAGGGTAAAACTTGCTGCTTTATGAGTGTGTAGCCAATTGCATTACTTCAAGATTGTGTTCAAAGACGAAATCCGAAGATTGCTGAGTTGTCTCAGTAAGAATTTTTCCCATTCCTGACTGCTCACAAATAACTGTGAGTAAAATGTATATTTGGAGATTTTGTATTTTCCGCAAAATTTATTTTGGTTTGCAAGTTGTTGCAAGTTGTTTTAAACTTTTTGTACACTTATGTTTTTTGTTTGGTGAACTATCAGCCGAAGGAAGCTGAATCGAATGCAACAGAGACTGAGCGACAACCTGATAAGGGGCGCTCGTCTCGAATGCAACAGAGCCAGGAAGATTGTTTAAAACAACCGATTCACGAGAAAGACAAGATGAGAAAAGTCCGCGAGAAAGCCCGCGAAAGATTGGCTATGATAGACAGTTTTGATCCGAAGTTGATTGAAGCCTGGACGTGAGTTTTGTTCTATCGACCTTATCAGCTTGAGGGTTGCTGCTAGCTCTTATTACGGGCCTTAAGAGATAAGTCGATGGTTGATTTTTCTAAGTTAGATCTATCCCAAAGCATATTGATGCAAGTGAGTGTCTATATCCATAATTGGGTAAGTAAGTAAGCAAGTGAGTAGGTGAGCGATCAGGTAGGTAGCTAAATGAGCAAGTAAATAAACAGGTTTGTATGTGCATACATGCATATCGCAAGTGCTTGTCCGAGCAAATCGCTAGTCTTTCACCTATTCTATTGTGTTCAGTGTGTTGATATCACGTAATCCTTAAATCAGATTTCCGTTGCTATCATTGGCTTATCGATCATCTTGATTTTCTTGTCACCATCCAAAACTTACCAAGAATTGATGGTAGTGAATGTATTGATATTATTCTGTTCTATTGATTTTTGGTTAATCCTTGCGGAAAATATTTATACGAAGTTTTATCAGTTATCATTTTACTCAATCAAAATTTAAAAAATACTTGCTGTTTTCGAAAAAATTGTGTGTATATGTTTTTGTTTGAACAGAGATTTGGACAGGGATTTCATCGACCCTAAGATTAGATTTGCGTTTTACTCTTCGCCTTTCACAATCACTTTTTCTTTTACCTGCAACACCGTCGTCATTGAAAATTCATCTACTGCTACAAACCCACCCTGTGCGCGCAAGTCTTATTTTAACCTGATCTAACTGTTCGAGATTTGTTTTGCTTTTTCCTTTTGATTTCTCCTGACGATTGTTCACGAGTTTTCTGGATCCGCTTAATCCGTAATTGGGACTTTGTTAGGCGATTTGAGTTTGTGTTATCCAGAGTAATTCGTCATTCTATTCAACACACACATGTAGTTAATCTGATCTCTCCGTGTTTATCTTGAAATTGCTTTCAGTTTTTTCTTTCATCCCATGATTTCCTTATCGATCAACTAGATGAATAGGCAAATTGTGATGACCAAAATCAGAATACTAGAATGAGCAGTTGTTCAACCTGAAGTGAATTTGATGACCCTCAAAACCAAAGGGATCAGGGAGTAAATAGAACACTATAATGGTTCTGATGACCAAATGTAATGATCCGAGAAAACAAAATTCGCAAGGGCAGCAAACTTTTATCAAATACTCTTATCAAATGCATTTCTAACGAAGAAGTTGATGCATCTTGTGAATATTTTATATGATCTGTTTACGGGACAGTAATTTATATGTCTTCTTCATCGAGAATACATCTAAGCTCAAATCAGCCACGAATATAATCTATTTGCAAGTTGATAAGTAACAGATAGTATGCAAAATATATAACTCCCCGTACACCAGTACCAGTCAGTACATTGCTTTCTTGCACCACTATAATCCATCTAAGTCTGGGGACATTAAGAGCATGTGGATGTAATATTATCTCAGATGAGTTAAACATGCATGCTTTTCTTTGTCACTTTTCAGGTGATTCTTGTTTACCATTTGTATTGGTTTTTCCCAACAGAGATGTCTGTTATACACATGCATTTATCGTGAAAAAATCACATAACATATCCTTATCATTACACAGAAGCATGCAGGGATTGGCGTTTCATTTATCGCCCATGGGTTTGTACCAGATATCCGAATTCTGTGAAATAAAGCAAAATCGAGAATGATTGTAACAGTTATTAGGACTGAAAACAACAGGTGAAAACCAATATTAAAAATGGGCAATATTTTAAGGATTGCACCACATCACGAAGTAAGCATCCCGAAAGCACATATCCACGTACAATTTGTGCTTTATTTGTAGGCTCTTTACACTCTAGGTTTAGACAAACAGTGGTGCTCATGCATCGGCTCATTATTATTGCAGCGATAGTCTCTACGACTTCGCTATCTTCTCCTTCGATTTGATCTCAACATTCACTCTTCCTTATACAAATGGGCGGCTAAAAGACTGCAACCAAAACTGGTGCACGAAAGTTCATGGTTAATGGTTGTAAAAACTGAAATGAATACTCAACGGATATTAGAGAGTTAAAAAAATGGTCAAACGGTTACAGTGAATAAAAAGTTTTTGTTTGTTTCACCGTGCACTTTTGGATATCTTTTGTGTTAGTCTATTGTTGTTTGTTTATGAGTCACGTGATTGTCACAGGCACACTGAACAGCATTCACGCAACTGATCTTCATTCTGGGCCAGATTTCTCAACGTCTCTAACCAACGACAATCCTCCCCTCGTAGGCCTAAAACTCAAAGGTGGACTGCACCAACCAACGCCAAAGCTGATACTAGCTAGACAACCGTATAAATCCATTAAACAATATTGGCTTACACAAGTGATGGAGTGATGCGGTAACCGATAAAGGGCTTTGGACAGCTGTTATGTCCTTATTTGGGCTCATCAACTGTACGTGCTATTTTGTTTCCCTGACTGGTCTCGAACCGGCGAAACTTTTGGGCTTTGTGGTAGATGATCATCGTCTTGGGTACATATATCGATGCACCTCGAGCTCAGCAACGTAAACAAAAATACATATTCCAGATAATCTTTGTTATTCGCTATTAAATAATTCAACTGGCGGCTAGACGCAACTATTTCGAAACCAAATGACTGCTTTTTTCATCAGCCATTTTGTATCCTTACGTTTCGTCATTGAAATGATTATTTTATAAGACGTTNACGTTTCAGGTTTCACATTTTACAACCCATAACTATGCACTTTAGTGTGGCTATTTTGGTTACTGTCTGTGTATGAGCTGCAATCGTGGTGACCTTGTTAGTGCTAGTGTTTGGAATGCCTTAGCTTGAACATTTATTTTGTGTAGTACCACTGAGATTCCTTTTGAGTGTTTTGTGGGGGCTAGTCATATACACGATAGGAATAAACATAAAAATGTATGTTCACCCCCTATCGGTTGAAGTGTTATCCTTCAAAACGTAATCACCTATGTGAGAAGGTTTAGTTTAGTTAACCGATTCCGGAAAAGACTGTCGGAAAGGAAATGGGATCAAAAGTTCTGTGGTCTACTACCAATGAGTCTAATTGAACCGCAGCTTAAACAATAAACCAAAAACATACATTTGGGCCGCTATCTTTAGACAGTATTGAATACAGATTGGTATATCTCCCATTAGGTATGTTTGAAGACAAGCATAGCTTCGCAGTGTGGATATTGTGCTTGTTCTCAAACATAGGTATATAAATTGTACTTCTAATGTATTTACGGTGTACTGGTTCTCTCTATTTATATCTTTTCACACGGCAGTGAACTCCTGGCATCTCGTTGCATGGAGCTGGACAAGCGATTCCACCCAAAGACCGACATTCAGTTTACAAGCCCCTCTCAACTAACAGGATCACTTCGGGTGAAACCACATTCCAGGCGACGTAGGCCTTCATATTCTGAATCAGATGCGACTACCTCACAGAGCCTGTTATCTGATTCGACTTCTGTAAGTCCGTTTTTCACTTTTCGCGCAATATTTTATAAGGGAAATCCGGATGAATTAGTTAACTAACTGGAAAACCTCTGTTCTACTTAGAAAGATTCAAGCGCTATGTTTCTCCAAACAAATTGACCTTTGAAAAATTCCAGGAATATTGATGCCAAATTAAATTAATTGGTTATTAACTTAACTTCGATGATGTGAGTACCGAACGCGCTGGTTTAACGGGCGTTACAAAATAACGGGGAACACTTGAGTTTGAACAAAACCTTTGGTATCTAGATGAGAGAAAAAAATCAGCCAGAACAAAAGAAATACACACGGAAAAGTCTTCCAACAAAAATTGTTAGAGAATATCTACCCCACAATAAATAAATCATTTGTGACAAAAGTGACCAACTTGTTATCGATAAAAAGTGTACTGTGTCGGTGCTCAGTTCAGTGTAAATCGCCCGAGACGTTATCCGAGGCTTTTCGCGCGGCTTGTTAGTTGTTTGTGGGGAACCGACTGGGCTTCCAACATTTTGCACTTTCGGGTCAATTTCGTAATTTTGATTAAGCGATCGGAAGGAAATGGTTAATCAATAACCAACCCACTTGTATGCTGATCAATGCAAAACTGAGTATTGTGCTACTCGATAGATATTGGACGGACGTCAAACTAAGTTCAGTAGCATTTGCGGATAAGGTTCGTCACAACCAGTTACGCATAAAAAATGAAGCTATTTGACCTGATACTTACTACAACGTAATGAGTGATTCTGTTCACTTTCGCTATTGAATCAAGTGCCCTTTATCCTCCTGTCGTCACGTGAATTCTTTTGTTTCGACGGCCAGAAAACTGATGTGGATGTGCTTACAGTCATGTGTGGCTTATTGACGTTCCAGTTACTATAATTTGCTCCGGGTACTCAGAATCGATCGGTGAGTAAGCAGAATCTCTATAGACTTCAGGTAAAACTCCATCTGATTCGTCGGCACTTCATCGATAAGAAGTTGGAGCCCTCTAGCTTTTCTTCAAAACCGAGGTCTCTCAATGTAACCATCACCGTAATAACATATCACCGAACCGTTTTTGGCTAACCAAAATTTTTCACATAGTTGAGTACCCTTTCCAGCATACAGTATTCTAGACGTGATCTAATAATGACCTGATACAGGAAGAGAGAATAAGAGAAATAGAGCAAGAGCATAACAATAACTTCGCCTAAATATAAACCAAAATAAGCCTATCAACACAGGATTTAGTAAATGTTGCTCGTCGCCAAGTTTCACAAGAAGAGCACTACTACTTGGTTCGCACCCGCCGATCTAAGAGGACTAGGAGTCGCATTTTGGCCATAACAGAAGCGATCGGAATCCNCCCCCCTTATGCTCCCAAAACAATTCGTAAGAACACTCGGTCTTCCATGGACAACACCACACACGACACAGCCATCCCTACCTCCACCCCTAATGACCCAAACCAGCGCGCATGTGTGAAGATCAAAGTGTGAGTGATATCGGGTCATGGAACTGGAATGTTGATTATCTCTTTTCCAACTTGTCTTGATCTCTCCCCCCTGCCAAACAGTTTGATATAAATTGTGATGTACTAGCCTGTAGAAGAATCACCGCAAACGAGATTGTTCGCTACTTTGCGCGTTCTCACAATGGGAGGCATAATAGGTGAGAATAAATATAATCTCTCTGTATAGAGTATGAAAAAGCCTCCCCACTATATGGTGTCACATATCGGACGGACAGAGAAGCTATTTTCTCTTTGTTCAGATGTAAGAGATTCTTATTATATCAGTTATTAAGTTGAAGTTGTTTTTTAACCAGCAATTAATTGATCCTGCTAATCAGCTGTTTAGAGGAATATATCATTGACTACCGTCTGTTTTCCCTATTCATAAACCAGACAAAACGGTTAGATCACAAACGTGTTTGGATCGATAACGAATATTGGGAAATACTCATACCATCCTCGAATTCCGCACTTATTCTCAAACTAAAATTCCAAGATTCTGAAACATGAGGTTTTCTATTTTTTACTCTCCACATCATTTCATTCTCGTTTGTTGCTTAATTATGACAAACCAAACCCAAATTCTCCCCGCTTATTCGATTACTCTTTGGGTGAAACAGCTCAACCTGCGACGTCGCCGCTTCTACCTAAAACTTCCGAGTCCACCCTCACAGCCCGTGGCTAGAAGACCTCATACTGCCTTTGAATGTACCTCCGATTACCAGTGCAACACCCAACTCGAACAAGATATCTACATGGTCAATGTGGTTAAACAAAACGTGATTAAAGTGTGCGACGAAGTCAGTGTGGAGCGCACCGCGGAATGGATCCACACTGAGACCGATCCACGTACCGTCTAGATTATGGATCTACCGTCTTTACCGAAGTGGGAAATATGCGGAGAAATTCGTGTTAGCCCAGTACCTTCCGAACAATTGTGCACAGATGAATTTCTAATTTTTGGTTTTGCTTCTTATCCACTTGATGCATTTTATGTTCACCACCGCAACGTTTATTCCCGATTCCATTAATTGCACTCCGTTTCAATTTTGTGTTGGTTATCATACAAATAGAATCGTCTATAAAAATTACTTACTACTTACTTACTTATTAGGTGGAAAAAGTCAGTGGTAGTCAAACTCACAAATGGGACTATGCAATGAAAACCCAGACTCAGTCATAAAAGCTGTGCTAGACATCCTGGGGAACTGGGGATCAGGGGACTTGCTGATTAGAAACATTGATTGATGTGACTGAGCATTGTAAACAGTTGATCTTGTACATCTAATCCATTTCCTTGTAATTCTAGTCTACATAAATTGTACATTTTTACCTCGATCCTGCTTTCAATTTTCCTGTTTTTTCTGAGCTCCTTCATCCAAAGAGGTAGCTAAAAGACATAAATTAATACCATTATACAAATGTGAGTGTCTAACAGCTGTATAGACTGAAACCGAAGATCAGAGACAGTTACCCGTGAAGCACGTGTGTAATGTGAAGGTAAAATTGGTATGAAGAGGACATCATAATCTAAATACACAGTAAGATTCTGACGTTCAAGTTAGGCACCTAAACAATCCTGAAGTCGATTGACTGGAGAAATGCAATGGACACCTTGCCTGATGCCTGATGGTGGTGAGACTTAATGAGAGCCCATTACGCAATTTAAGTTAGTTTCAGTTAATTTTATGGCTATCTCTCATTTGTGGTTCGGCTGCCTTTTGCAGATTCAATTGGATACATTATGGGCCATCCGTCAATGGATGAAGTGTTTTCTTCAATTACATTGTTGGAAAATGGCGTACTTTCATTTTTGAAAGTCCCCCTAAAGTCCTAAACTAATCTGAAAACCTGAGTATTTATGAGCCAATTGTTCATTCTGTCGCGATTGTATTAGGGTGCGCAGTGAGAGTTGCGTTGTTTAATTACGACTAGTCGAGTTTGTTAGGAATTACTGTATAAGAAACTCAACACAGCAAAAACGAAGAAATATCGTCGATTGACCGAAAGCCCTTGCAATTAGGCCAAGGCTAGACATATCCTAGAAATTACCCCGTTTCTGACAGTTACAAAACATTAGATGGTTAGATACTCTAATTCTGTCAACGCAATGAACCACTTGAATGTCACTGGTTCAAAGCTTTGATTTTAGTAGCATTAAAATAAAATGTTACTGATTCTGTGTTGAGTGCTCAAGTCAATGAAAACACAATCGCGCCATTATAACCTGTAGTACTGTTCCCAAATCAAAAGTAGTCAAGGAATCTCCCTAAAGTGTTTGTAAACAATAAAGCCAGTTATCCTTGTGTAAATTGCCCGTTATGGGTAATTTTAAATCTATCTTCACGTTTTACCAACATAAATTCGCATCTAGAGCTTCTGAAACTTAGACGGAATAGATCGATTACTATTCATGAAATCTCTTTGGAAGAACGATGTTTGCAGAAATAACTTTCAGTATCTCTGGATTTTAAGGTTCAATAATAATGATCTTGAAGATAGGCACCTAAAAGTTGGGACACACCACTCGGAATAAAGCGAGGGAGTGCACGAGAGGAACTTAGGAAAGTCCATTTGTGAGCTAGATTTGGGAAATAAAGGAAGTGTTTGAAATAACTATGAAAACAGCACAATATTCACGGAGGAATATCTAGTCCCCTAAAATTTGGGGGCTAATTCAGAGAGAACGGAAGTTGTTGACCAATTTGTGCGCAACCTGATCCCCAGACTTGAAAGCCCAATATAAACAATCACAATTTAACTTATTTTATTACGATCGACGAGGCGTAGTTTGCACTCGATTTGCGGTTCTGAATGTAGCGTTGCCGGGTTTTTGCAAGAAACAAGGCCGGAAGAGGATGCATTTTATCAAGCTGTATTTTCTTTTACTTGTTCTCGACCCAAGTTATCGGATAACGCGTGAATTAGTGATTACTTATGGATTTCCACCAAAGCCATGAATAATACTGTTTACACTGTCTACCCACTTCCAGTATCGCATACCATGTACTCAGGGACGTCAGGACTTTCTGTGTCAACGTCTGAGAGGGATTCAGAAAGCTCTTCATTTGAATCTCAGCATACTAGGTTCTTTCAGTGAGGAATGGAATGCATCGTCACAAAATAAGCATTTCGGTAAACATGACTTGATTGCAAACTGATGTTGCCGCATCTATTTTCAATCAGATGGATTCGATTATTCAGACCTTGAGTTATACTGCTTCATCTTATACGTTTTGTAGGTTTTGTAAAAAACTGAATCAGATAAGGTACTCCTAAGGGCTTACAATCTTGATGCCGTTCAAAGTTGTGTTTTTAACAGGAAGATTTAGGATAAATATCGAGAAATTTTCACAGATCTTCTTGGTTATGCTAAGGGTCAAAGTTACACAATATTTTACGCATAAAAACAAAGTGAATACTGTATTGCTAAACCAGGATAAACTTTAAGCTTTGTGCACTAAATCCGGCTAACTCATGAACGGTCGCCTTGTGTTTGACAGCCCTTGCTTTGCCACAAACAAGAGAAAAATACCTCCTTTTCGTTTTTTTAAAGCTACAGTGGCAATCACAGGTTACAATCACTTCCATGTTGCACTTAAACTCCCTTGAACCATACCATAGACCCCTAACAATAATGTGTTTGGGAAACTATGTATCGGGAAACACTAAATTCGCCAAAAAAATTTAGTTAAACTCAGAAAAATGTTTTTCAATTGATGAACATAAGTAGCCAAGACTACATAAATTAATTGTCCACGATCTTTTGTCATATGATGCAGTTTGTCACTGCGGGTGACTTCCTAACTGACAATTTGTTTTCATTAAATAGATTTTTTTTACTCAACGGTCGGAACAGCACGTGTGACCGAATAATGGAAGTACTAATGCAACTACTTATTAGTAGTAAACTACTGTTGAAAATATGACTGTAAATATGAGATGGTATGATCATTAGGTTATCAACATTTAGACAACTACAGAGCGTAAAAATGAAGCTTTACATGAAAAAATAATTAAATGAATTCATTCAGCTTTTTGCGTGACTTTGAAGAAAATAGAGGACGATCAGCTAAGAAGCAAAGTATCAGAATTGAACTGAATCGTAGAGGAACAACCATGCGGAAGTTCTCTGGTCTTTCATGATAGTTTCGCGCTCATCAGAACAGTTTTTGTTACTCCTCTGTTAAGTTATTATTATGATTTTAAGTGTGATTTTACTTCTGCCAAATTATCCTTATGTTTTATATCTCAGAGTTAATTTTGGTCTAGCTAGTGTCAAAGAATCTTTTCCGTCATTTTATGACATTGGTTTGAAGGCTCAAAAATGTTGACCTCAACAACCAGACACCAATACCGATGGTTTTATTACTGTGAAAGAACAGGTTGTACATGTTTTTACGGTTTCTCCATTTTACTAGTTTTTGATCAAGGAATATTCGATTCTTGTGTGATGAGTGTCTCCACTGAACCACCAGGTTGCATTTATCAGTTTAACATCTATGCGTCCAAATTAATTGTTATTTGAACTACAATTTACAGACAATTTGATGATTGCCTTGTTTTGAATGTTCCAAATCGCCCAATGAAAATGCGATTGAGACAAATAAACAGCTTCCATAAAGGGATGCAAATAAACGTTTAAAAACTTTCATGATCAATCGATTCTTTTTAGTTCCTTCACTGTTACTATTTCCACCAATTATGCAATGTATAAGCAAGCTATTGTGAACTCTAGTTATGTATATAGAAAAATTATTTTATGAAAGTTTATGGATAAATAAATACCGCGATATGTTTTCGAACCAAATACTCAGAGATACAACAATTTCACAACCCAGTAATGTGGTTTATTCAGAATGCTATTGGGCTATTCAGGCACTACTCATCTTAAACATGTCCTCAACGAGTCTTCAAATCAAGTCTGCAGATTAGGTGTAATAGTCAAAACAACATGAAATGGTGCTGAGTAATTTTTCGGAATAATAATTAACAGAGTTACGTGTATTACATTAAAAGTAGCTCCTCGGCTAAATCGACGTCACAGAAACACCTACTGGACGAACGAGAACACTCAGTAATGGAAAAGTTGCGTTTAGCCCTTCACTTCAATGTTTCCTCGAAGGTCTACACTTGATTAGTAGTCACCTTTCCCAAGAGAATAAATTGTCTTGTTCCCGACTGACTTCACCCACGAAACGTAGTTCGAGTGAACACGATCGTCCGGACGTAGTCTCAAGGCGGACAAAAGGTATCACCTACCTCTAAGTCCTCATTTTTTGACACGTGTCAAATGGTACTCATAGATGAGAATTTGCATCTACGGTAGATCATAACTCATCATTCCTGACATAACACTTTATTGTTCTCTTGTTAGTTAATTATTCCACGCAAATTGCGGTTTTACAATCTCAAACAGCTTTGCCCACTTTCTACCCATGATGAGATATGTGCAATCAGATAATTGTAGAACTCCCCAGATTGCTCGGAGACAATCGGATGCCATGGTTGAACTGGAAATGTCTTATATGAGTAAACCTAGATCGAGTATTCAACTGCGATGGGGGAGGCATAAGCATCTAATCAGAAAGACAAACTCCATGTCTCCAAGGTGCTCAGCGCCTCTATTGTCTTGCCAAGAAGAAGGAGCGTCTGCGATCTTCCCTTTTTGAGAATTTCAATAAGTGAGGGGAATGCATTTTCTGCTGAGATTGTGGGTTTTTTCGACAATACGAATGAGTTAAACGTTCAATTGTTTTTGTCTCAGTCTCTGGACTCCTATAATGTCGGTGATTTGGTAACCCAGGCATTGCTTCCGTTGAACATTTTAATTTTCCAATCAATATTCTTTCAGGTTAGT